ACGTGAGAGAAACAAGTTTTATTTGTTCAATGCTTCATCAGCTGCTCTTTTAAATCCTCAGAAATCTGGTAACCAAATTACTTTCAGGGTGTTACTGAGTGTGCAAGAACAACAACAACAACAAAAAAAGGTATCTTCGTATTAAGAACAAAAAAACTGATCTTAACTAAAAAAATCAGAAGTTGCAATTATGAAATGGAACTTGTCGGGCATCATATGATGTGATTTTTGAAATATTTAAAATTAAAAAGAAACCCATGTTACCAACACACTTTTTCTAAAAATGTTTACAGCATGTCTCAGTACTTTAAAACTTTTTTAACCACACTAACATTTTCATATACATTCATTTAAAATGGAAGAACATCATCATGAAATACTTTAATAACTTGTATTAATTAATTAATTAAAAAAAAATCCAGATAGTTTTACAAGCAGACTAAGAAGGATTTTTGTTGTTTCCACAGGTACTTTCATAAAAAAAATTTTGAACATTCATGAAATCAGTTTTGGTATTTCAAGAGATTATCTTTAGCATTTTTGATGTGTTTTAAAAACATCTTAGCATTGAACGAAAGTTAACTCATTCTATTTACATTTTCAGTGTGCATAGTGAGTAATGGAGTGTTAACAGCTGGTTTTTGTGTGTAAAACACTTGCAAACAAATGTTTGTGTTTAATGTTAAGTTTAAATAATGAAAATAAATAAGGGAACAGTTTTATGGTCTTGTATTTTACAGTTCATTACTTAGTCTTCAATTAAATTTTTTAATGAATAAACAATTCAAATTTCTTATAAACTTTCTCAATTTACCATAGATAATCTGATGAACCACAACATATGCGATCATATGTAAAAGAGTATAAAAGTACATCATTACAAATGCCATTTCCAGTACAGATATTAAGTTTCAGATTTTGATGTTTCCCAAATTCATTAAACATAACTTTATGTAGCTGGTAAACATAAACAGTTAAAACAGAGCTCTCATTAAGTACAGAATATAACTGTTGTTCAAAGTCAGTCTAGGCTGTCATACACTGCACTGGGTAAAAAAAAAAGAAAAAAAAAGAAGCTTAGTACAAACTCAAAATAGCTTTTACGACCAGTTCATCCAAAACTCAAGTACTAAACTGTTGTAAGTTCTGTTTCCAAGGTTATGTGAAACAAATGGACATCGGTTGATTGGTGTTTTTGTATATATTATTAAGTTATTGCAGTTGTTTTGTAAATAACATTCTAAAATTTGGAGAAGTTAATAAAAACTGGGTCTGTGTACAGTATTTGTAAGACAAAAAATGATAAATAAAGGGAGTACTCTATTATGAAAAACCTAAAACTTATTTATTGTCAGATATACAGAGTACAGTACCCATGGTTACATTTTACCAGGTTAACCTGGCATCATCAGATATAAAACCTACAATCTAAAATTGATATTGAACCTGATGATGCCAGGTTAACCTGGTGAAACGTTGTAATCATAATGTTATATTCTGTATATCTGACAACAAAAAGTTTTAAGCTTTGTAAATCATACTGATGTTCTAAACCTTGGGGAAGTTTATAAAAACTGGGTTTGTGTACATTTAATTAAAAAAAACTTTTTTTTAAAGACTTACAAAAATTTAATATATGTGTTATATGTAAAGAACAGAGGCTATTACATATCCACAAAGTTTACAAACTAAGTGCATGTGCTGTGTGTTAAAACTAGGAATTTCCTCAACATCCCAACAAAACCTTTTATTGAGAAATTTGCACTACATCTGCAGTGCTTTTTGGAGGATTAAAAACTGGGGTGGAAGATGACTTGCATGAAGTTTATACAAAACAATCATAACATTAACATCAACAGTTTATTCTTCAGTCAACTGTACACCTTTCACCGGGTTCTATGCACCAGTAAATTTCTCCTCATCTTGGTTGTAACAAGGTAATAAAGAACTTCATCTCGGCCTACACAACAAATAGAAGACAATCTGCACACTATTGCAAAAGCAAGGCCAACTAGCCATATCCTACAGTGAAATGGAGCTGCATCTGGTAGCAAACTGATGATGTCAACAGTTTCTTTCTGAAAAACTAGTGACACCATATCGCTTCCATCCCCATAACATTTACAGGTAACAACAAAGAATCCCACATTGACAATGGTCGGTATGAGAAGACAGTCTGAGCAACCAACCCGAGCACAAACTTTCTGCAGGCTGGAGACAGTCACTGCTTCATTCATGATCAACCTTATTTTCCACCTTCACTAGGTGGCTCTGTAAGATCTTTCATTTTGTCAACATATTCTGTAAATATGTCTCGAAAACGTGACCAGGATTTTTCTGGAATGGTGATGGCAGTTCTAAAATTGCTTTTCACCTAAAAGATGAAAAAAAAAATTTTTTGAAGAATTACGTATTAATTTTTTTCAACTATGAAGAACTACAACTAGATTTTAGATAAATGCAGCAATTAAAGATTAAATAGAACTTTTACAAGAATATTAATTCTCCAACAGAAATGTTACATATTTTAATCTTCTTCAATGTTCCTCTAACAAAAAGACTATCATAGTTGCAAGAAGGATTTTTTGAAGTATAGAAAACTAAAAAAAATATCAGAAAATAACACAAATGCCAATAAGGTGGGAGTAATAATTCCTCATTCATAGTTAAAAATGCACTAGAGTTGATCTCACACAGAAAAATTTCAATATCATTTAACATAACAATTTTACAAACGGTTCAGCATAAATATAATTACCCATATATCACATATGAAGTCTCAAGAGATGAGCATAATTCTGAACTGGGTCAAATCAGTAATTCAAGATTTAGAACTTATGTTTGAGTGTTACATTTTAATTCTAATCAAAAACTGGAAATATACCTTAGCATCCAAACTGCTAAAAGAAAAAACTTGTTGATTCACAGCAAAGATGATCCAATATCCCTAAAAACCTTAATTCATCTAATAACTCTGCTGAGTGAGGTAAACAGTGGGTTGCATACTCAGACAGTAGACTGAAGTGGCAATGTTCCAAACATCACAGGAAACTTTGCCATAGATTGAAGTGGCAATGTTCCAAACATTACAGGAAACTTTGCCATAGATTGAAGTGGCAATGTTCCAAACATCACAGAAGATTTTGTCAATACACTGAAGTAGCTATGTGCCAAACATCACAGGAAACTTTGAAATGGGCTTATTCCAACATCACATAAAATTAATGTTTAAGAAAAGCACCATAAACAATATTCTTAAGCAGTAAGGGACCAAACACCAAATAATAAACAGTTTTGATATATGATCTAAAACAGCACAAACTAACAAAATAGATTTCTTGAACTTAAGCCCAACAGTTGAAGAAACATTTTTTGGCACGAGAAATCATAGGAAACCTTGCCATAGACTGAAGTAGCGATATGTCAAGCATTACAGGAAACTTGGCCAATAGACCAAAAGGACTATGCATCAAACATACAAGTAATGTTTAAGGAAAAACATCATAAACAATATTCTTAAGCAGTAAGGGACCAAACACCAAATAATAAACAGTTTTGATATATGATCTAAAACAGCACAAACTAACAAAATAGATTTCTTGAACTTAAACCCAACAGTTGTGGAAACATATTTTTTGTCATGAGAAATCGCTCGTTTATTTAGACATAATACCCTCACAATGTCGTTAATTTATTAAATGAGAATGTATTTAATCCCCAGGTTGATTATTATACATAGCTCACAATAAGTAATTATTACTTTTTATGGAAAGGAAGTAAAAAACTTGAACGTTACCTTTAAGTTCCAATTAGAAGAACATAGATCCTGGTAATAATTATACAAGTAAAAAATTTGAGTTGGTACACTTTAAACAAGTAAATGCTTGTCTACCATGCTGTTCATACTTTTACATTTTTTTAATACTGGACTTTTAATATCAAAATTTTCATCAATAACAAAATTACATAATTTTACTCTAGAATCTCCATGATTCCAACTACAACTCTTGAGATTTACAAAATCTGAAAAGACGAGGAAAGAGTTAAAATCACTGTAAAAGAAAAATGAATTAATTATGGGTAGGTCAAAGTGCACATCTCATGACCTTTTACAGAGTTACATTCAAAATTTAAGTGGTCTATTCTATTATCAAGGTATATCAATAAACTTGGCATAAAAATATAGTTTATAGTTCAAAATGTTAACATATGTTTGAACTTTGTTATCTTTAAAAGTATGTATGTATAAATAAATGCTAAACTTCACTTTCTGTATTGCATGACACTTCTTCAGTCCAAACTATTCAGTTCAGCATTCCTTGCTACCCCTCTAAGGCATTGTAATGTTTTGTAGAATTTCTCACTTATATTATACACATCCCTGAGCTAAAATGTCAATTCATAGCTAGAAAGCTTTTTGCTTTATGGAGATATATAAACAATAAAGTAAATGCTACATGCCATGCCTCCCACAAAGCATTCTGTTTACAAGACTTTTCATAAATTCTCTCTAACATTTGTTATTGTATTATTTGTAACCAACAGAAGGCAAAGCTACAGCTACAGGATCTAAAGGTCTTAATTAAGCAGATTTGAACGTTTTGCATCATTTTCTTTAAGTGCTGCTGTTAGAGCTCTGCTTGACCAAGTATGGAAAAGATTTCACTTAATTGTCAGCTACAGGATCTAAAGGCCTTAATTAAGCAGATTTGAACGTTTTGCATCATTTTCTTTAAGTGCTGCTGTTAGAGCTCTGCTTGACCAGGTATGGGAAAGAGTTTAAGCCACTTCTATGTTAGTAAGAAAGACAGATAAATTCTACAAGTTTTAGGACATTCTGTTTTATATGCATGGAAATAATTTGTATTCTAAATTTAACAACTGAATTAAAAAATTTCTGAGACAATATTATTATTACACTGAATTAGGGTTATGTTTTGACATTGACTTGGATTGTACAAGAGCAAAATCTTGAAGAGAAGATTTCAGATGCAAGTTTCTTATTTTTTTATCTATTATATTAACAATCAACTAAAATGTAAAAATTAGAAACTTATCATAAGTAATTTTAAATTAGATAAACAAACAAAATATTCGTAATCAATGATTAGCACATGCCAAGTTCAAGCACGGTAGTGTAATTCAACACAAGCATGCTTATAATTGGATCTGTAGTTCACACAAAGTTGTCCAGCAGAAAAAACAGCTAACACAGTGTCATAATATAAATTCAGATATTATTGTTTAATTTATTTTTTGTGAGTGAATATTTTATTAATGTTTAGTTTTGTTATAATAAGAGTTAAAAGCAGACGATTTTAGGAAGTTTGTTAATAATTCATTGATGTCGAGAATATAGAAGGTGGACAGATGATTAAGTGATAAAGATATAAATAGCTTGAGATGAGTGGGAACAGCAGACAGATAATAGCAAAAGAGAATAAAGTTGGTGTGAAGTTAACTACCGTAAAAGTGATAGGCCTAACAGTTAATATGTTAGTGAAACTAACAGTAGAAAAGATAAGAAAAATAATTTTATTCCATCAAAGCATGATTCTAAAGTCATTGAATCAGCCTGAGTGCACTTTGACAAAAGGAACAGAGGATCTTCAAAAGAAAGAAGACCAAACAATTACAGTAACTTGCACCACAATTGTAGGTGAATCACTGAGAATACTAGTGTGAAAGTAATATAGAGTAGACAGTTCAGTGTGTCAACTGAAATTCTAAGGTAATTGAATAGGCCTAAATGGATACTTGACAAGAAGGAGAGAACTACATATATATATAGTTTTATGATGTGTCCATAATATCTATAGTGTTGAAGAGTTTGTTGCACATATGTTAACATATGTTGCACATATAATATATATATATATTATTTTGAAAACAAGAAGTGTGTGCTGTTTATTCATTGTTTAATTTATCGTTAACAAGTCACAGACACCAACTGCAGAAGAATCCTAAGCCCAACAACGACATATATATTTATACTATTAAGAAATATAACTAAAAGCCTGTATTTGACAACTGACAAAATAATATTTTAAATTCTGATACACATTAGTTTGAGAAGGTCAAAGTTCAACTGTAAATAAAAAATAATTAGCTTAGACTGTAAAAGTGAATATTGTGTAATTGTTGTTACAATGTGCACAAATTTTAGAATGAAAACAGAATAAGTTCAACTTATTTTGTGCTTTTTTGTAATTTTTACAAGGTCAGTCAAACCAACAGAGTCCATATGAAGAAAGGCCAGAGAAAAAAAACAGACCAAATATATTTTTACTGAAAACAAAAAAGTTTGATATTTATCTATGAGGTTTTAGAGTTTACATAAATGAAAGCTCAAAATGTTCAGACAAATAAAAGTATTTTTAATTTTAACATAAAATTACTTTGCACTCAGACTAGTTAACACTTTGACTCCACATATTCACAGACCTTTAGTAAAAACACTCAATTCATATTATTTAAAGATTTTCATTTTGCTTCCACAATGCTATTAATTTGCTGATATTGAATTTTCACATTTGCTTCTCACATAACCTAAACTATCAATTCATAAATCCAATTACATTGCAATTTTTTATTACTTACTATCAATGCAATTTCTGGACTTTAACAAATAATTCAGGGTAAATAAATTTTTTCCTTAGAAATTATTCCTATGTAAATGGGAGCAACATTTTCTTGGGTGGTATCAGCAATATCTGTGTACTTTAATAATTTGTATATAGGCTTGGTCAAAATGACCAAGCCTGTATACCACAACATAACCATGAAACTAAACACACTATAACTCTGAATTTACTAATTTATCTTCTTCAAACTTGGTAAGATTTTAGTAAACATTACAAGTATGTTGCACACAGAAAATCTGATTTCTTGTAAAGTATTTTTACTAAAGATTTGTATAATTTTTTTTATTTTACACTTATTTTATATTTGCATAACCTCTATAGCCTCCTAAATGAACATCAAAAGTTTTTTCAGTAAAACTTTATATTGTATCTGCCATTTTCTCTACCCTAATATTAACTGCAGCAAAATAAGCAATGCAGGATAAAATGAAAAGTTGAAAATCGTGAAATGAATTTTTTATTTCTAGGATGAATGTATAGTGTAACAAAAAATTACAGACTATTTATTCTCATAGCCAAAGCGAACACTTTTCAAACTTCTCAGTCACTGAAATTTATTGCTTTACACTTACACTTATGTACGGCAAATGCAATTTAATCAGAGTGGGCCAGTTTTGTGTAAACAAAGGTTCAAGTTACCAGCATGCATGATTAAGTAATGATCATGTTGCACTTATGATATGTGTACTATCATGAGTACTTTTTTATAGTATTTTTTCATTTAAGCTTTCTTTCCTAACCTAATAAGTTGCTACCTTTTATATTTTAGTTATTTTTAAAACAATAACCAAAAACATATACATAAAAATCTGGAAATTTAGTACTTATTTGCGAGTCTTGTACTTCTTCAAGTTTTTGCTTTTAAAGTTTTGAAGACAAAAGTTAAACCTACTTTTTGGTAGGATTGTTGGCAGAACTCTAAATATTTTTTATTTATTTCAAATATTCAACTCAGAACACAAAACAATAATATACACAAAAACTACAATGTCCTAAAACGATTACAATTTAACCCTATAGCTTTTGGCACCGTTTTTAAATTCCTTTCTGCGTATGGGACTGCATTACATTATAATTTGAATTTTTATGTTATCTAAGTTTTAATTACTTTGTTTCATAGGAAACCTTTCAAAAAAGTACTTAAACTGCAGTTTTTTTTGTCATGTGATCCATGAGCTTTGAAAAATCTCGACTTTAGCACTGTTTCTCTCTTACCACAGAAGTTGAAAATGTACAGGAGTTTCCACACACTAAGTACGTATGTTTGACCTAATTGACACGTGAAATCTAGAGTCTGTAAGCCTATGTTGCTTGGGAAACACATATAAATTTTCCAACCCTTGACGGCTGTCATTCCTACCTTCTATACTTTGCCTTGAGATCTATAACATACGTGTAATTAGTTGACACAATTATATATAGTCATTAGAAAGAGTTCAGTTTACACTATACTCTACCAATGATTAATTTGAAACTGGCATGCAGTTTTCCTTAAAGTGTACACATAACTGCCATTCGTATTGTTGTTTGCTCGACTGACTAGAGCACGTATGATGGTTTCTTACCTAAATATGCTAGAGCTAGAGAGGCAGTTAAATTGTATTTAGGTTTTACTTTTACATTTTAGTTAATTATGTATTATGTTTGTTTTAAAAATGATATTTTAATAGTTTAATGATTTTTTATAAGTTTAACTTGTCACCTGGATTTTGAAAGGTTATAAACAAGATGGTGTATATAAGCACCATCTTGTTTTGGCAACACCTCTCTATGGGGAGTGTGTCGAAATACTTTCACAAAGCACCGCGGACATCAGTTAACTTATGGGCATAAATGATAAGAGACAAAGAATTTGAAAGGGAAATTAAAAAAAAAAAATGAGTGAAAAGATAAAAACTTGAAATTACGCATACAAGAAAAACACAACTATTCTACTGGATTTCTATGAAGAGTTTAAAGATATGTGCATATTTTCATTTGTTAATTTTAAACATTTCATTACACCGCATGTTGATGATAATAGATATAGTTAGTGATATAGCAGAGAAAATGGAAAATAAAATATAAATATTTATCTTAAAAAACTTTTGATATTCATTTATAAGGTTCTGAAGATTATACAAATGAAATGTGAAAAGTGTAAGAAAAAATAGTATTTATATACATCATATAAAAATCACCTTGCAGGTGAACTATTCAAAGTGTATGTGCAAATAACTATATTAAATAAATTTCTATTAGAAATAGTAGAAAAAATCAAAATTAAATGTTTTATTTTTCTAAAACTACATACTTTTAGGAACGTTCTTGCCAAATTTTAAACAATTTCATTCACTAGTTTTATTTTTGGAATGAAATATAATGATAGAGATATTGCATGCTATGAATTGTAGCACACAGCTACCAAAGGGTTACCTGGTTTTCTAACTACGCTATAAGTAGGTTGAAATAATTCTGTTAGCTGGTTAAAGTGAACTGTAACTCGAATATAACTCTATTTCCCACCAATATTTTTCGTTTGCATTTCCACCCACCTATATGCTGTTAAAAACAAGTAAATAAAGTCATTAAACAGAGAATACAAAGACTGAAATTAATGGAAGTTTTGGTAGTTATAAAAATAACACAAAAACACAGTTTTGAAAACAAATCTTGACAACCATAACCTTTCCAAGCCCAAAAACATGGTATAACCTGTTTCATCAACCATCTTACCTCAGATATCCGCATATAAATTCCTCTGCTGTTTTGACCGACATCAAAATAGAAGTTTTTGTTCTCTACTCTCATGTGATGAGCTTCTGGTAGGGCCCCTTTAAACCCTAAGATATATATAGTACGATTTTAAACAAGCTTCTTAAGATCTCACAAACAAACATTTGTAAAATGCTGCACAACAGTTTTTATCATTGGAGAAAAAGCAATTTAATCTTGATATGGACAACATTTGTAAAACAATTACACTGAACCTTGTTTGTTCTACACCTACATTAGTACTTTCTATTAAACTATCAATATATTAAGATAGCAACACATAACTGTTATGCAAAAACTTAATATTATAATCATTTACAATGTGAGATCCTGCAAATGTTTGAGCTTCTGAAAAACCACTGTAGGTACTCAAAGTTTAGACACACATTTACTACAAAACGGATGTTCCTTCTAACAACTGACAAAGGTAACAGACTAAGCAAAAAAATTACAAAGAAATTGTTTAACACTTACTTCATTTTACCAAATAAGCTACAGAGCGATGATTAACCCTGACTTCAGTGGCAATAACTAAACAAAATATACAACGAAGTTGAATTCTGATGACAAAAAGTTTAAAAATGTAAACAAGAATTCTAGTAAAACTGACAGAGAAATGCCAACAAGCCAACTTTTTTGTTCTCATACAGGTCCCTCACCATATAGTCTGTGGTGCCATCTTTTGAAAGTATTAAAAAAGTTACATAGAAATGAGGAGAGATTTCAACACTCGATATGAAAAAATTCTACAACTAAACTATTATACTACATGTTAATTGCATAATATATGCAGTCAAAATAATAAACCACTAAATACTCATTAGAAGCACAACTGTTTGGGAATGTTGCTTTCTATAATTTCCTTGAACCAGTAGTTTGCTTGCTAGTTTCACAATCTTCTTTTATTCAATTATATAACATATTTTTATTTAAATTCCATGATTCAAACTTATTTCAAGAGCTAAAAAAACTCAGGACAACCAAACATGACTGCATGATTATTTCTACAATGTTGTAACATCTCACCAATCAACATGGGCAAACTGATATCATAACACAACAGGGTTGATTTATTTTTGTTGTTGTATTTGTTACATCACAAGTTTCAAATTTTGATAGTAATATACACATTAATTTCAGATAATGAGCACTTAGAATAAAATAAATTACCACAAACACAAAATTCAAGTCCTATGTACTTTCTGTTGGTCTAGTCCCACAGGGAATCTAACCTAATTTTTTAAATGGAAATTCTCAAGTGAGACACTTTTTATATGGAATTAATTTCTTTTTAGACATGTTTTTTTCTGCATTTATTAATAATACTGCAATACATGAGGTAAAACTGTGATTCCTTTAATATTTTATAACATTATTGCAAAGGGTTTTTTAAGAGCTTTTAAATTATTAGTTACACTCATTTTAAGATTCTTAAATAATATGTAATTGGAAAAAAAAAAAGAGTAAAAAAAATTACCAAATGATGTCTCATCATCTGTGCCAAATTCTTCTAACAGGTCAGTGAGAGCATCACGAAATTCTATCATTCCTTGTGCTGGCAGAGCAATCTGGGACCGTGGTCCACCTTGTGTAATTGTCTGAGAAATCTGAAGTGGAAGATTAGCATTTTCCTACATTGAAAATATCTTTCCAATAGATACTTTCCTCTTCTCACAAAATAGCTTTTTTCAATGCATGCCACTATCCTTCCACCTCCCGCTTCTGCATATCCACATGCAAATGATCATGCAGTAGCTCTCCACTAATCAGAACGCAATACCACTCCTATCGTAACCAGTGCCCACTTCTCAATTGGTAGTAGTACTGTACAGACATGCTTGTTTTTGCTCGCATATATATCCATATATCATCGAAAGTGGGGAGGCTGGGTGGGAAATGTGAGCAGAGCAAGTATCTATCTAAAATACATTTTCAGATTAGAAAAATTTTAATTTCCAATGTGATATCTTACCTCTTCTCACAAAATAGTTAGAATCCCACACTGAACTGGTGGAGGGCCGATAAAAAATGATTCACCTTTAGGAAGCACCCAAAGAGAGATCAGGAGGTGTAGAACCAAAAGAGAAAACATCACACCTCAGCATACCACATCCAGATATACTCTTCACCCTTTTAGGACTGTCTTGCAAACATAAAAGGCAGAAAAACATGAAGGAATTCCAGAATATGTATGACCAATGAATGGAACTCCTGAGTGTCGAGTGGCTAGGGTGTGATAGACCATAGTGGTAGTTCAACCTCATCCAATACCAAGCAGAATCTGGAATAGTACATCAGATCTGCAGTAGGTAGAGGATCCTTTACCTCTTTCTTCGAAATGGGAACTGGCAGGGAAGACAAGCTTTTGTACAAAAATCCATCTCCACTTGCTTGCATTTCCAACATAACCAACACTAGATCAGCCAGGAACCAACATCCAGCAGATGGTAGGAAGGTGGAAAGCTTCATAAGGGTGATATTTCTGGTCCAAAACCTGATGGCAATAGGCATGGTAGTGCCAGTCTGCAGTAGGAGGAGAATATCTGGCCATACACAAGTGGGAAAACATCCAGCAGATGGTAGGAAGAGGGATCACAAACCTGGGGTGCATAACCAGTCCAAACCTGGCAGCAGTGAGCATTTTTCATCTAGTCTGTGGTAGGAGGAGAGATACTGGCATTCACACATGTGTGGACTTACTTAGCAGGACCATCTCCAACCAATATCAGACCCACCGGGAATGTACATCCATAGGATGGTAGGGAGGAGGAAAGTCTCAGCCTGAGGGGCAAACTGAAATATATATATATATATATATATATATATATATATATATA